ATAAATCCCAAAATACTTTTGGGGATGTGAAGATTTGAAYCCTGGCATTCATGGTTACAAAGGTCATGGTCTCACTTGATCATTGAGTCATTTTAAGTGAGTTGATCATTTGTTTCCATGCTAATATTTGAATGTGCATAATAAATAATGTAAAAGATAATATTTACAAAATTTAAATTTAAATTATAAGTTTTGAACCGTATAATGATAGTCTACATATTAACTTACTCAATTTAATCAATAAAGATAATATAACTTTTAAACTATATATATCATATTTATTGAAAATCAAGTTTTTAAAGAATATGCATTTTTTTTTAAGGGGAAGAGTAAAACAAAAAACAGGTTTCATAGTTAGCCCTGGAACCGACCTTCATAGGGTAGGTTCTGGTTCATTGGTTCCAGGTTTTTGCCATGAAATCAAACTGAACCAACCCATGCTCACCCCTTTGTATATCTGACTTATTCAGTCCCAGATCTGACCCATTCAGAACCCTATAGATAATATAACCAGACCTATTCAGCCCTAGATCTAACCCATTCAGAACCCTATTGATAATATAAGCAGACCAACTTGGGTCGGGTTGGGGTGAGAAATTCTTAAATTTTGAATGGGTGTAGTGTAGAATGGAATAAATATGTAATCAAGCTCAAGCGTATGGTAACTGATGTAGCTACTCAAATGGGTCCGTGTATTTCCCCACCTCAGCCTCACTCTATTTGAAATAGCCCTTGGTGGCACATGCCCATAATGAAAAAGTAGTTTTTCTTTGCTTAGTTTTGTTCATTTTGCCCTGTTTGGATATACCATGCAAAACTGAAGCATTCAATTTCAGTTTTACAATCAGAAATGTCTGCAGGCTGGAAAGTTGTGGTCTGAAATGCCAACAAAATCATGCCTAATCGTCCCAAGTCACTAAACAAGTTACAAATTTCAAGCAAATGAAGGAAGAAAAGTGAAAAGATTCCGATATGATACTGGAAAAACATGTAACCAATCAATTGGCATCATAAAATAATAATCAATCGATTGGTATTTATCAAAATTCTTTGAGGGGTTGATTGGTCGTCAAAGCTCTTACTGTCTTGTAGATTTTGGCAAAGCGAAATAATGTCTTGTTTAAATGAAATTCCTTTCTCCCAAAGAAAAAAAAAAAAAGACAAGGGCAATATACGTTTGGCCTGAGGACGATGAGATTGGGATTCATGTGCCATGTTGGATTGTGGCTTGAATTCCAAGTTAAATTATTACCCATGTTTAATGGTTTTGGGGGGAAACGGTATCAGTTTTGAAACATACTCTAACTTGACCTTTATCTTGTGGTCGCTAGCAATTCTAATTATTAGAGTGAAGATGAAAATGTTATGAGCCCGTGCGTAGGATTTTGTCATGGGTCGGTCCACGGGAAGAATCTCTTGCTTCCCTTTGCGCCTTCCCTTGTGTGTAGACCCTATTGTGAAAAATCAAATGGGTGATTTGTCCAAGAGACCACCCGAACTTTCCTCATTCTTCTCTTGACTGAAAACTGAATATTTCATTTCCAAATCACAGCTCCTTAAATAGGAGATTACAAGAGGAGACTCCTTACTCCATTCGATTAAGCTAGGACAATCCAATTTTAAATCAAACTCCTACTTCTAACAGACTTCTAACAGAACTCAGTTTTTATCTCTAATAGATAAATAAGAACAGAACTGGAATAAGTAAACTATTGACGAACTGGCAAGAAGAGCTGACGTGACAAGATAAGCTGCTGTGTAGGCCCCCCTCACTGCTGCTGCTGGCGGCGATAATTCTTCCCACGAATACATCCACAACAGAAAAAAGGGTGATCAACATTTTGAGTGCTTATCTTTGGGGCTCTCTTATGAGATCAATTTTAGGATTTGATCTCTACACACAAATCTTCTGTTTGGTTTCTTTCTCTTGGAATATGGAAATGATTATTTTGATTCCATTCACTCTGACCCTATTTCATGTGTCAATTATGAAGTTCTAAGTGAGTCCAAAACAGATAGGCACACTTGATGAACACACTAAGTACTTAATAATTTTTTTCTTGTTATCCTGTAAGACCCCTGACCTATCATCTGTCCAGAATATTTATTGAATGCTTATTCACTATATTCATAAGGGTGTACCTACTAGATCTGGTCTTGCTTAGGATGGACCATGGAATGCAAATGTTTGTGATTACTTAGTTTTGTACATTGTAGATTTACAACTTAACTTTTGGAACTTATGCAACTATGCAAGACTTTTGCCTTAAAATTGGCCCTCACTCTTATGGTTGTAGGATCAATGAGCGGTGAAAAGTAAAAACTATCCACATATAGGCCATGTGATCATATGAAGCTAATGGCCCAGCTCAACCCGAAATCGACCCAAATCCACTCTAACCTAAACCAGACCTGACTAATGGAATAGGATTATTAAAACACCCAATCAACCCCATCCTGTGTGATGTGAAGTGTGAACACTATCCTGAAGGCTGTATTTAAATATTTATAACTCAAGTTGTGAAGTGTCAACTTGAGTTTTTTTGGTATTGATTGCTCGCCTTTGCTCTACATAGGGGCCGTAATTCAATTCTCCTTAGCATAGTACATCATTTTTCTAACAACATTAATAACTTTTAATCTGATCTCTCAGCCTCAACTTGAGTTGGTATAGGTCAACCTCAACCCAAATCTCCCCCAGCCTGATTAAGAAATCCTATCACCTGTTGAAACAAAATCATACAAGTGGGCAGGAAGACCTATCATGAGTGAATATGCCAGTGTTCCATATATACATAATAATGAGTAGGTCTCATATGGGGCCTCATGTGTATGAAATACTGGTGTGTTCCCTTTTAAGAATTGCCTTCAATCCAATATCATTTTTTTTTTCTGGACATATGGTAACAAAATCACTATCAAAAGACATGAGTTTTTTTTTTTTGAACAAGAGTGAATTATTAGGATTTAGGAATGAGGATAACCTTCATATGACATATCAAACATAGAAATTTGTCCAATCAACAGAAAATAGGAAGATGGAGAAAAAGAAAGCCAGAGAGAAAAACAAGCCATGAGGACACCACCACAAGGAACAATATGCGATGCGGGTCCATCCCATGTATGGGTACATTCATGATGGTCGATCATGGAGGTCCCTCTTGGGCTGTAAATATTGCATTGCTTAAAAACGAAAAAGTCGATCTATTGCTGCTGTGGATACTCTGAATCAAAATCAAGGCTGTCAAATGATTGGATCATGATCTGTATTCCATATGAACCAATTGAGCTGCTTAGAGAGTTATATAGATCTCTGTTAGCCACTGAGTTGAACCACTGGATATATCTCACCACTGGTCCATTAATCTTATCACGGAGAACCTGCAGTTACATGGGTTTGATCCTATGTTCAAGGTTCGAAATATCGATACAATTTGAGATAGGGGTGTATCAGACTGTATCATGAATCGTTCCTTTTTTTTTTTAGTTTTTTTCTTTAACTTGGTTCAAAGGGGTCAGTTTAAGGCCCTAAGACGCTCCCAATACGATATATATTGGCAAATATGACCAAATATTTATCAAAATTTTGAACCTTACCTATGCGGGAGGGTCACCAAGTGACCATCTCAGCTATTTTGGATCATTGATAAATTGCTAATTTATCAATGAATGATCCAGTAGTTAAGATTGGTTACACATCACTCAAAAAGTATGCGCGGGATCAAATCCGTGTAGTCGTAATTCGTAGGTTGTCTGCAGTTGCAGTGGGCCTCTCTGCAGAGTAGAAACTATGCATGAGACGTTTTTATGGGTATTCAGTCCCCGCTCCCAGAAAGTATTTCTTGTCTGTCTGGGTGTTTCTGAGTATCTCTAGCTCTTGGACCCATTGAACAGCCCTACAAGGTATTTTCTCAGTTCCCACTTCCCATGCTATTAAACTATATTTTAAATTTAATACTGTAGCACACTGTTTCTCTTTTAGGGTGGATTATTGGGTCCAGATCCTGATACCGTCCAGACTCTGCTGTGGCTCCAGACTGGAAGCTTTTCTCCATTAGTCTAAGATGCTCAGGAGTCTGGGCCAAGCAACCAAGCAACCAAAGTTAAAGAGAAAGGACGAAATACCTGGCACCATGGGTCCAGGATTAAGATAAGCATCAGTGCTAAGAGGCATTTAATAAACCAGCCCCACTCATTGACTCTGCCTAACAAACATTAAGCTGGACCTAACTCATCCCACACGTTATTATTAATATTAACAAAAAGGAAGCTGGAACTAACTTTTCGAATCATATATTTTACTACAACAAAGAATGTACAAAGATGAAGCTGGTCCCATGCACAGAGAAATAAAGGTAAAATCATAACCCCATTAATCAGTTAATAACAACATTTTATAATGTACAAAGTATTCCTTGACCAAAAGAAAATAAGAGATTAGCTTATTAGTAGGAGTCTAGGGGAGAGAGAGAGAGAGGTGACCATATTTGTTAAAGTAAGCTACAATGGTACATACTACCATATCTGACTGTCTCTTAGGCTGTCTTGGCCCCTAAGGCTCTCATTTTTGTGTAGGTAAGCCCTTATTGTCTACTCCACATAAGACTTCTACCCTAAGCACCCTCTTCAAAGGAAAAAGAAGATTTACCTGTACTCCTAGGACCTGTCATCAAATAGTATGCTATCCCTCAGACACCTCAAAAAATAATATTAATCAAAGGGAAAAAAGTTCTCATATATTAACTCTCTCTCACAGATTTTTGTCTTCCAATGTCCCTGGAATATGTGTATGTCTTTGTCAATAATTCATGTGGAACAGTGGAAGGAACTGTAGCAGTTAGCTGAAATTGCCAATATACCAACTTAAGAAAATGACTATCTTACCAAGAGACGACAGAGAGGCCCATCTGGAATCTAGATCCATCACCAAGCTTTGATTAAAAGAAAAAGTTTAAAAAGGAAAATTCACTTGAGAAAATCTGTACTGGTATCAAGTGACAAATTCAAACTTTGTTGTGGAAGTTGTAAGGGTGTTGATCAAGTGGGTGGTGTTCGGGTAATGGTTGGTAGGTAGATAGGGAATTTGGGTTTCTGATAGTAACTCTTCATTAGCCTAACATGAAAGCTTCTCCTTTTGGTTGATAAAGTGGTAGGCACTTTGGTTATTTCAACCCAAGCTTCTGAATATTTTAGCCATAAAGAAAGTTGGCTCTGAGGCCTTTAAGGGAAGCCTTGTTTATAAGCATCAGCGGCAGAGAAAGAGAACAATCATTCTAAAGCAAAAGCAGAAGGAAAGAGAAGAGAAGAGAGAGAGAAAGTGAGTTCCAAAGAGAAGAAGGTTCCCCGTAGAGGCAGAGATGCAGACACAGAAGCAGACATGGGAGCAGCAGCAATCACAGGTTCAACGACTCAAAAACTCGGAAAGTATCGGCTATGGTGAGAGCCCAACAAGAGAAGACAAGGAAGAAGAGATGTCCAGATCGGCTCTGACTACGTTCAGGGCAAAGGAAGAAGAGATCGAGAGGAAGAAGATGGAGGTAAGGGAGAAGGTTCAGGCTCAATTGGGACGCGTAGAGGAAGAAACAAAGCGTTTGGCAGAGATTCGGGAAGTAAGTTGAAAGCCAACCTACATGCTCATGTTAGCAACTTAGCATCTGCGTGAAAAGCTAAAAAACCACATCAAAGCTGCCAGTAGCTTATTACAAATACTGTAATTTTCTTCAGAAAAGAAATTGTTTTCAAGAAATTAAGGACAGTTATCAATTATCATTCAATCTGCCTACAAAATTGCAGTGCTTCGACCATTTATCCGTTCTACCAAAAATTAATAAAAAAATTATCAGTCACCCCAATATCTGCATGGAGAAAAACCCAAAAGGAATTGCCATCTAGTAGCTATTTATATGTTGTTGATGATGAAATACTTTGAATTCTTCGTTTAACAAAAAAGAAATAAAAATTTACTAGGAGCTTGAAGCACTGGCTGATCCAACGAGGAAGGAAGTTGCATTAGTACGTAAGAAGATTGATGCAGTGAACCGAGAGTTGAAGCCACTAGGACAGAGTTGTCAGAAGAAGGTGAGGAGTTCATCATCTCCAACATAAGTGCCTATTAGGTTTCACATCTCATAGACATGTATCTTCTTGCACAAGTTTTTTTTTTTAATGTAATAGATAATAATTAGAAAAATATGATTAATGCTATATGAGTGGGATTTTGATTGGTCACAGGAGAAGGAATACAAGGAAGCTCTTGATGCTTTCAATGAAAAGAACAAGGAGAAAGCTCAATTAATTACCAAATTAATGGAGGTAACATGCAGCTTTTCTTGACAACATGATCATGTAATTTAGGGGGTGTTACAACATGAATGTTTTTTGTTATAATTTATTTCTGAAATTGCCATATCAGCGAAGCAGAAACATGTTCTTAAACTGTGTTTTTGGTTTGAAAGGTATAAACAAGTTGGTTCTGTTTCAAATAAATAAATAAATAAATGTTCCAAAACAATGATTTTTTTTAATGAGAACAATTTTGTAATACAGATATTATATGATTTATAGAACACCATATAAAATAACCAGATGAAAACATGCTCTTTAAACCAAAAGTCCAATAACACATTTTTGGTTTCAGTTTTGAAAATAGAAAACAAATATACAACCAAAAACATGAGAAATGTTTTAAGAACCAACTTGTTTTCAAACCAATTAGTTTTTAACTTGTTTTTGGAACTCACAAGAAAAACAATTCACGTTGAAGAACACCCCTTAGTATTTTAACTTCAGAAGTTGATTTTAGATTTTGTTTCTCATGCTCTCTCCCCCTTCTTATTATTCTCTGAGCAGTTGGTAAGCGAGAGCGAGAGACTGCGGATGAAGAAGTTGGAGGAGCTGAGCAAGCATATTGATTCTCTGCGTTAAGTAGTGATGTTTATAATGGATTAGGCTGGTGTGCTGTACTTAAGATGATGACTTTCACGTTAATGGGTGTCATTGCTTTGATGTATTTTATGAGTCTGTTTCTGTAGTTGATTTGCTTTCAAGGAGGGGATTCTACTGATTTAGAAAAGAAACACTCAAAACACCCTCTAAATAGGTTTGTAAACCAAGTCTTTAACTTCATAACTTCTCATCCTCATAATTGTACCCTACAACGGGGTGATTCCATGCAAGTTTATGCATGTCATTTGGTAAATGGTATACTAGGATCCTACCAGTACATGGGCGATCAGTCATCTTTTCAGTTCAGGATGATTGGGTTAATATCCTAATTATACATGACCACTACTTATATGTTCACCCTATTAAGTTTCTATTATTGGATGTCTCATCTCATGCCGTATTGGAGTTATGCTCAATCAAGGTTCACCAATCCAACCATCCTGATTGATCGGAAACAACTATAAGACTAAGCGTACTAAGAGAGCTGCTAAAAGAAATTTCATTTACTGTTCTTTTGTTCAGATGGGCAAAATAATAGACAGGGTCAATACATAAAAGAGATTAAACCTTGATTACATATCACCAGTTCAATGATAAAGAAACAAATGATTCAAACAAGTCCTCATACATTCTTCACATATTAATTTTCTTAAAGGAGTAACCCCAGGTGATTCTTCAATTTGACAGAAGCTGTTTGTACTCAATCAGCAACTTAGGAATATCATCCATGCGCAACTGAGAAGGCATCACTCATGATTTTGAAATGAGAGAATGAAGGGGAATGGGAAGTAAAACACACAAACATTCACAAGTCCTACAATTGAAGAAACAAGAATTTTTGTGGTACAATACATAAGAACATCTCAGGACTTCAAATTCTTGTGGTTTAGAGGTCCATAAAGGAATTTCCAGAATTGGGCTAAATTTTATATGCATACCCATCTTCAATATTTCACTCAGGAAATACTGAAGAGTCTTTGAGTTGCAGTCTACCTTTCATTGGTTCATGCTTTGCATATTTAGAAGCTGTATTTTATGGTTCGTATCAGAATGGTCATCTGAACCATCTTTTGTAGGGCGTTCTTATCATCATAGAAAGATTTCTAGGTAGTCTAGAAGCAAAAAGAGGAAATTTAGAAAATGGTAGGGATACAAGTTGGGTACCTGATTTGAAGATTTTACACTGCAATAGGCGGCCTGGGTTTATGGGCCATTCAGATTTGACAAAATCCCAACCTGAGCCCACCCAAGTTGCATCCCTAGAAAATGGTATTTTACAGGTGTCCAAGGGGCGATGTTTTCCATTGGTTATTGGCTAATATTGTCAATCTATTTATGCCAAATTTTGGTCAGACTAAGAGTAATGACTTGGCCAAGCTTTTGCCAAAACAGTGGTGTGGATAGACTGATAAGCATGGGTCTTTCTTAGCTAAAAAAATATTTGATTTCTGGGAGGAAATTCTTTAAAATATTTAGATTAAAATAGCACTCTGCTCCTTTGCATGCAGCATGACTGAATCTGAGGATCAATACAAACTAATCATGGATCGGGATTATACCTGAGAAGCAGTTTTAATATGATAAAACTGGTAATGTGCAGAAGGATTAGACTCCATTGACAGTGACTCAGATCCACCAATTCCCCTACCATGGTTGCAAAGACAAACATGCCAGGAAAAGGATCAATTATACTGACCAAGCTGTGAATTAACATGAACAACTAAGAGGTGTGAAAATCATATATGTACCATAAGGAATGCCTGTAATAATCTTTCTGACAAGAACAACATTTTTTTTTTCTTTTTTTCTTTAAACGTAAGGTAGTTTTATTCAAGATCAAACCACACAATATCAAACCACTAGCTCACAAAGAAGCCAGACCCCAAAATACACAAATACAGTAAGTTTGAAAAATAATTGCTACACCATTCTAGATTTCCAAAGAACCAAGGAAAAAACAGGCTATTTTTCTTTATGATCTTATTTTTGTAAATAAATACTACTCAAGACTTTGACTATATTGTGCATGGTAAACAAATCTGCATCTTATAGCAAACTAATTTTGTTTTAGGGATTCAGTCATACACCAAAAAATATTTAAACACGTGCGAATTTTCACTGATTCATCTTAAAATACCAGAATTAAAAAAACTGAAAGAGGTGGAATTTGGGTTTCCTGGCATAGAATGTTTCCTGATACAAGTCCAACAAATGTATTTGAAGCTTTGTTTTATTATTATTTTTTTGAAAATGTATTTGAAGCTTTGTTCAGTACAAGCAAACAAATTTCCAGATGTTTTAACATTTCTCCCACAAACTGTGAAGTGATTAGATAAAAAAAGTCAACACTTAACACTTGGACTCTGGCAGGTGAACTGGAAAATTCAAACACTCAGCCATCAAAGACTAAGAAATTCTATAATTTGTAGTAATATTAGCTGGTATTCCCTTGAGTTTTCTTATTTGTGTGGCATTTCCTTGCGTTGCTAAAATAGCCTATGTTAAGCACCAGATAAATTTCCTAGACAATATTTCAGGACATAATAACTACATGGCCCCCTTTATGTATCTCCCTGCAAAAGAACTCAACAAAATCAACTTGTCTCTTCTGGTATTGTGGACATTTGCAATGCCAACCTGTACAATGATGATGATAGACAGGTAGAAGTTCCTACAATTTTCAAATTTGGTGGTGGGCTTTGTAGGGTGAAGGAAGGTGATTAATGACAAAGAAAGACCACAAAAAGATCAGATTGAATCATATTAGGTACATCCAAATTTGATTGGATTATATTTGGATTCAAATTGAATCTTCTTCAACAGATCTATATTGGGTTTGAATTGAAATCAGATTGCAATCTGATATTGAATAGCATAGTAGAAAGCTAAAAACAGTAATCTGATTTGATAACAGTGACAGAAAGAAAATAAAAAGTGGTTCTTGAAGAGAAGAGAAAGAGAAGAAGAGATGGGGAAAAGCCAATAATGATCTGGCCGCCCCACTCATTGTCTTATATACTCATAAATAAAACTGATTACAATGACTAATATGCCCTTAATAGGGCATTACTGCTAACAACATAAAAACAGTCCCAAAAAATAACATAAATTAATGGGCCTTGGGCCCAACACCATTAACTAATGATTCTAAATAAGAAAAAACATAAAAAAACTGCTGAATCTCAACAAGCATTAATAAAATAAACTAAAATGGTCAAATTACTATATATTGTTAATAAAATGAACAAAAAAATTACTTTTCTATTGTATATCACGAACAAAATATATTGAAAATAACTTGTACCAAACTTGAACCAACGACTGTAGAAAAATCACAACATTCAAAACCAACTTTACGAATAGATAAAATACAAATTTAAGTATATATACACATATGCATGAATCAGAATATATCAGATAGGGTAAGGGTGGGTGCATATTCAATTCAATTATAAACAAATCAAATTGGGATCACCCTTAACCAAATCAAACCAGAAAATTTGGATTTCGATAAACAGATGCCATTTGCAGCCCTTCCAGCCCCACAAAGAATAGTGCTGCAAGCCCCTTGGAGAAGCAATCACAGCCATACAAAGAATAGGACCGCAAGCACCTTGGGGAGAGAGAGAGAGAGATCAACTTTTCCAAATTTTAATTACAATGCCAATTTATAAAAAGACTCAACATATGCTCATTATGGTCCCATTAAATAAACAAATAAAAGACAACTCTATGATAGACCCAAAGATAAATTTTTCTAAACTTATCATGGATTTACATCCTATTATTAAAATGGTCATACTCTGTCAAAACATGTCAGATTAAAGTCTTGATCTCACTGGATAGATAGCTAACCTGTCTGATGACACCAAAACCAGGCAAAACAAACAAATTTTGACTCCTAAAAAATAGGGTGAAAGAAAAATGATGTGACTGCATTGTCAACTTTTTAAAATTCCAAAGATTATCTAATATGACTTTAAAACTAGTTTGACCCTTACATAAAATTAACTCTATCTCTAAAACACCAATAAACCAGAAAATAACTTTATAAGAACTCAAATTGACTAAACCCCAAGTAGTCAAAAGTTTTTTCTTCCATGGTTTCTTTCCCTTTTTCCATGTCTGCATCAAATGATTTCTCCATTCTGTCATTCCTTCTAAGAAGCTTTCTCATTTGTTCTTTTTCCCTTTTTCTGTCTTAAATGTTCATAATGTACTTCCTTTTGAATTCTCCTCGCGTTATGTATATTTTTTTGAGAGAAGAATAACAAGCTGTTGCAATGCTGTCAACTCAGATTCTGTATATCACAATGCAAAAATGACAGAAAGCTTTTTAAGATAAAACATTTCAACTATTTTCACCCGTTTTACAGTGGAAACAATTTTTTTCTTACAGAAATATGAATGCGGCTTTAGCCAAATTAGAAAATGCATTTCCCTTTCTTTTGCCTACTATTTTTGTCCATGTGACTTCTTCCCAAACCAATTAACTCAGACCAGGTTTAAATACCAAGCTTACTTTCCAAGACATTTTTATTAAATCAGAGATCCATACTTGTCCAACAAAAGGGTACACCAGAGTGATGAGCATTCTATAAATCTAAATTGGTATTACATTAAGAAACATTGAGAACATGCAGCAAACTACAGTATGTGCAAACATGAACAGTTAATAAATGTAAATGGCAATGCTTACAAATGGCAGCGGGTTATTAGACGTTGGTAATCTCGAAGCAAAGGCCCCAACTCCCTCAGTGGTATTGCCCTTGGAGAAGACTTCTTCCAGTGGTCACGAAGCGCCTGTACAGACTTCATTGAACCAATGAAGACATTGTTAGATGGAAAATAGATAGACATAACCAGCATAGCATAGATTTGCACCAAACTTACCTGAATGTGTGTAACCTGTCCACTAGTGGACTCTTGTCCTCTGAACAACCTTGATGATTGTTCAAGAAACTCTTTGTCATCCAATTCATCTGTAATACCAACCTCAGGAGCCGAAACCGAAACAGAAACTTCTAATCTCTTTTGCAATTCTGTGATTGGGGAATATTCTCTTTGGCTTTCCTATAGAAAAATAGGATATAGATAGGTTTTAAAATAAATAGTTAATTTCACATCATTACTGGCATACATATTCATGGTAAGACTAAACAAAATTAAACAGAAGGTAGAATACAACATAAGCCTTGTTTTTCCATTCCAATCTTATCCATTGTTAGACTGTGAATCCAGAAATCATTTTCCAGTACCTTAACATATCCTTTTTGGTCTGTTCCTATTTCTTCTAGACCTTCATATTCTAAAGAACATTCTCTACTGATTATTTATACTATTGATAAAAAATATTTATTTATTTATTATTTACCATATTTTGGAATCATGAACCACCATTTCTGTGGTTATTGTTTTTCTTTGTTTTTATTCCAACTGTTTAAAAGAAGACAATTTGCCCATAGATCAGGAAAAATGTGCATAATAGACTCGTACTTGTTAATTTTGAATGAAATCATACTGAATGGCATATTTTTTGAGAAAAAAAACAAACAAATATATTGACTTCTAAAAAAATGTGTACCACATGAACAGTAAAGATTTTCAAATACATTTATGCATATAAAATGCATTAAGTATATTATATATAATTTTCAAATTTCTTATTTGGTACTTTTTAAATGAAATATTATTAAATATGTATTTATCTTTCGACACTTTTTACTATACTCACATATACTCAACCAAATTTACACCATGTTTTTTTTCTTAAAACCAAACAACGTATGGATTTTGTTTTGAGTTGTTAAATGTGAAGCAATGGAAGAAGAGAGGAAAGAGAGAAGAAGAGAAAAGTTATGAATGATGTGTCATGTTACTGTTCACACAACATTGCATTTATATCTTAAGGAAAAAGTACAAGATTGCCCCTACTTGGGCGCCCAAATACAAAAGAAAAGAAAAGACCAAAAAACCCTCACAACTCGTTATATATTCTCAACAGTCCCCTTCAAGCTGAGCATAGATATCTATCATGCCCAGCTTGCCTAGGTTACTATCAAACTTTGGCTTGTGAATTCCTTAGTAAGGTAGTCAACAAGTTGATCATCTGATATTACAAAGGGCAAGTAAATATCTCCACTATCAATCTTCTCTCAAATGAAATGTCTATCCACTTCAATATGTATTGTATGATCATGCTGAACAAGATTGTGAGCAATGTTTATAATTGCCTGATTGTCACAATAAAGTCTCATTGGAGTTTGAACTTGAACTCCCGTTTCTATTAACAAGGTCCTCAACTATTGCAACTTTGACCTATGAGCCATTACCCGTATTTTGCCTTTGCACAAGAATAAGCAAAAACAAATTGTTTCTTGTTCCTCCAAGATATCATCCACTAATCCTGCCCAATTTGCATCTGTGTAGGCCTCAATATTCAAATGCCTGTGATTAGAGTATAACATTCCTTTGCCAAGACACCCCTTCAAATAAGCAAGAATCTTGTTGACAACTTGCATGTGAGAAGTTCTAGGCTCATGCATTTATTAACTAACAACATTGACTACATAGGATATATCTAGCCTAGTCAAACATAGGCAAAGAAGGCGACCAACTAGTCTCTAATGGACCTCTCTGTCTAGAAGAAAATCTCCATAAGTGGCATTCAACTTGTGGTCAGGGTCAATTGTGGTTCCAGCTGGCTTACACCCCAATTTCCCAACATCCTAGAGCAAGTTAAGAACATGTTTTCTTTGAAAGATGAAAATACCCTTCTTTGATCTTGCTACTTCAATTCCCAAAAGGCATTTAAGATCACCAAGATCCTCGATCTCAAGTTCACAAGCAAGGATGTCAGCTGAGAGATTCCAAAGACATCATCCCCAGTCAACATGTACTATCAGCATGGTCACCCGATCGTCATGCCTTCTTTTAAACAAAGTATGATCAGCTTGAGATCAAAAAACCTAACCATTAAGATTATCCTTCTAAACCTATCAAACCAAGCTTTGGGAGACTATTTGAGTCCATATAGGAACTTCTTTAGACAGTAGACCTTTTCTTCATTGTTAGCAAAGGCTCACTCTTGGAGGCTAGTCCATATAAACTTCCTCCTATAGGTCTCCATTAATAAAGGCATTCTTTCTTTTATCGATAGAAAATTGAATTTATTGATTAGTTATATGTAAAAAATAACACAAATTGATGGCCACAACATCACCCCTACTAATACAACAGTGTTACAAGGAATCCCAAAGCAAATGTTGCCTTGTTATTCCTTGTTTAGCCAAGAAGTCAGCTATCCTATTTGCACTTCTTCTAGCCCACTTGAATTCAGCATCCAATTCTCTTGCATTCCTTTCAACTTCCCTGTATACATTCTTTAGGCTCCAAGGAATATTTCTATTACTTCTCTCCCATGAGATAATGACTTTTGAGTGAGTCCCCTTCCGCCTCCAACTGTTTGGACCCCAGTTAACCTGAGACCATGTAGTAAGGTCATTGGTTCAGCCCTTATAGAATAAGCTACACCAATTGGCCCTGAATAAAGAGCCAATATTATGCCCTCTGAGTTTCTAATTACCCCACCAATTCCTACCATACCCAGGTTACCCAAGAAAGTTCCACCAAAGTTCAACTTGCATCTGCTGCCTAGTGGGGGTTTCCACTCTATTCTAACTCTAGAGGACTGTGCTACCTCCTTCCATGCCCTTAAAATGTCATTGACTGTGAAAGCAATTGAAAGTTTTAATCCACAATGCTACCTTCACTTTTATATTCTCTATCACCTCCTCCACAAATCTACTCTTGTCAATAAAAATTCTGTTACTCCTTTCCTCTCAAACCATCCAAATAGCTGCTTCCTTAGTAGTTCTCCACATCAATCTCCCTCTTTTCTTTGGGTTGCATTAGGAAGTTTGGTCTGAAAATGTTCGACACCTCTTGCTGAGGGACCCACCTGCAGCCAAAAAGAGAATAGAAAAACTCCCAAATACAAGTTATAAAGGAATAGGAGATTAATAAGTGGGATAGGGATTCTCCACTTTTCCTACATAAGAAGTACACATATGAGGCAGGACTTTAGGCGGGATAGGCTTAATCCATATTTCTTTAACTGGAAAGTCCACCCGTTATGAAAACAAGTGAGGCTAGAAGCTTAAAAAAAGAGGAGCAAGTAAAGAGTCCATCAGATGAGAAAGTCCAAACTCTAGAGTCTTCCAAAGTAGGATCCAAGATGGCTGCCTCCAAGATGTTAATAAGGTTAGTCATTGAAAGGCTCCCCCTCTCCCTTAGGCCTCTTTTAAAACCAAGGTTCTAGTTGATGCCTGATGGAGAGGGAGTTCCCAATCTAGACACAAGTTCACCCTTGAGGTTCAAGAGGGCAAACAGATCAAAGGATTAGCCTTTTAAAGGATTTTCCCCTATCCAAAAAAGGCTAGGAAAAATGTGATGCAAGAGACATAATCACACAAATAGAACTCATTTTTGCTACTGGAGCAATTATTTCCTAATAATTGATGCCATAGGTTTAAGTATATCCTTTTTTGATACCAGTTGTGCCTTGTATCTCTCAATAGAGTCATTAGCCTTGTGTTTAACAATATACATCCACTTACATCCAACTAGAAACTTGTCCTTGAGAAGAGAGACAAGCTCCCAAAGTCTGGTTCTTTAGAAGAGCATCTATTTCTTGGTTCATAGCTTCCCTCCAATGAGGTGACTGTATTGCCGTTGTAACATTGTGAGGAATAGAAACAAAAGAAATAATAGATGCTAGGCACAATAAGAAGGTGAGAAAGCACCATAGGAAACATACTTAATGACGGGATAGTTGGTGCATTCTCTCTTTTCCTTGCAGATGGCAATGGGAAGATCAAGGTGGGATTAGTGACAAAAGCATCAGGAGGTTCAATAAGTGTAGGATCAAGGTCACCTTCATTAAGTATTAGGAGCCACCTTCTTTCATCACTTGAAAAAGACAATTAAAATATCTTCTTAAACCCCCTATTTGCTAATGTTGTTCATTCACACATTCCAATAAAATATCTTCTTAAAAGGCAATTAAAGTTATAAAATCATTACTTTTTTATGTGAGAAATAAAAATTTAAGACCCTAATATGGACTTGTTCGGGCTTGCCTCGAGGGGCGTGGTACAAAGGTGACTCATAAGAATGCAATAAGTTTTACATCACATTAGCTACTTGAAGTAATGCAATTGAAGAAAAAAAGAGATTGTAGGTTTTACATGCTTGAAAATGCTTTATATGTTTGCTTTTATTTTTAAATTTTCATTTGAATATGCTTTACATGTTATGTTTATGTATTTTAATTTTAGATAATAGGTTTTTTTAAAACATTTTTTTTTAAATTTAAGTTTATATTTTGTATTAAAATTATGCTTAATACTTTTTGATTTTTTATAAATTTTTTGGCATTTTTAATTTTCTGACATTTTTTTAGCATTTTATTTTTTGTAATTTTGCACCTTGCTTCAAAAAGGTGCATGCCTCACCTTGCGCCTTGCACATTTAAAACACTGATCTCTACGCATACTAGAGGTTGTTGGTGAACCTTTTTTAACTAAAAGTCATGGAAGCATGTTCTTGGTATAACAAAGGTTGTTGGTGAACCTTTTTAATTGCACTACAGATAAACAAAAAAGAGACCAGAAAATTTTAAGGTGACTTTGTTCACTGGTCACCACTTATTCTATGCAGTGATTGTCAGAGGCAATTTTATGTGGTGCTGGCCTCATGGAATTATAACTCAACTAAAATCCCATTAACCTATTGCCATGGAATTTAGAGTGAAGATCTAATGGCACTTTCCTTCTCACCCTGAATACAGATTGGAGTGAAGTGCTTCGCACTAATCCATCCTTTCTTTCAAAAGGATCTTTTGGAAGAGGTTTTGGCAATCGCCTTGCAATTGGATCATCTGCATATCAAGCAAGAGAATGACATGTCGTTAGTATAAGTCAAATGTCCTACTAGAGTGAAGAATGTGCTTTATACTTTTGATTTAGGACAGGAAGGAGAAAGTCCTACTACAGTGTATGTGGCGGGTAAAAAAGTCTAACTAAACATCCGAATTATGAACAAAAATAGGAACAAGAAAAAGAAATAGAAGAATTTAGAATAAGAGGAGAGGAGAAAGAAAAGAAAGATCACACCATTACAGAAGTAACAACAGGAGAAGAAAGACCAAACAACCTCAATTTTCAAAACCATAACCTTTATTCGTTTCAACTATGCAGGTGCCAAGTGTTCAGATATGGATACTCATAAAAAAAGTGTTCAGATAATGGATTCACTGAAATCCTTATGTATTTTTATATATTTGGATAGTAGGGGCATTTTGGTTATTTTACAGGTTGCCTGTGGGGTCTGGCCTAACCATAAACTTGATTTTTCTAGACATAATTTAGTTGCACTTAAAATTTTATAGTCATTGGTTAAGTAGTTTGGTAGTTACTGAGTTCTCTTTGAATCAAAGTATGAAAGTGGCAATTCTACAATTTTTGATAGGCCACCCCCTTAGTATCTGTATACTTGTCCTAAGTGTAAAAAACATGGTGAATGAGTTGAACTTTCTATATAAGGAGGTTATGGTGAGTGATTTATATAAACTCTGGAGTGATTTTAAGTTCTCTCTCTCTCTCTTCCCAAGTTTCTATCACCTTTAACCATACCAAATTACCAAATTTCATCTCCAAATTCAATCTTTTTTTTTTGATAAGTAAAATCAAGCTTTATTAATCAATAGATAAAGGCATTACAAGCAGCCCTTAGAGAGGCACAAGGGGCTACCTCTCCCAAGTACAGTTACATTTACAATTGAGCCCAATACAAGCATCTTCAAACTCAATCTAAAATCCTAGTTTCCGGAATTTTGACATTTTTCTCTCATAAAGGGATCTTTTCATCATTTTGCGGTCTTCTTTTATTGGTTAATTTTTGGACCTTTATTGTGCTACTGAGAAATTGTAAAGCACTACCAGACAGATGGTTTAAGTATCAATAACACACAGACCAAGAAACCTTGCACTTAACAAAATCAAAGGTAGTTATCCAATTATCTACATGTAAATGTGAGAGTAAAATAAAACAAAAGAAAAAAAAAACACATATGACAAAAAAGGAGGAACAATAAACGAATTCTGCCAGTGGATTTGTTTAAATCAACCAAAATAGTTCTAATGACAAATTATATATACCATATCACAAATCTTTCTACCTAAATAAATATTAGACCCACGTGATAACAGATATAATTAATGCCTTCAAAAAACATTGTTGAAAAAGAAAAAAAAAGAATATCACTTGAGGATTGAGCACCAAATAGAAAACACTTGTTTAAAGTAGTATTAATAGAATTGAGAAGATACAAAGGACAATTATAGAATACTCTCAGCGAAATACCAAGAGCAAAAGGTCTCAGAGTACTATCATGAAGTTCAGTCAACATTAAATTAATGCCAGAAACCTTCTGGATCTGACTATTAAGACCTAAAAGGCTAACTAAAAAATGAAGAATTATCCAATACTATCCTAAGATAAAAAGATCAAGTACCTTCTGGAACCAACCACCACAGGTCACCAAATGTGGATTTCCCATCAAAGCCGCCAAATAAAAGATAACGTGAACCAACACTAGTCATAGAATGGTATGCTCGAGCAGAAGGTGGATCATTGCTGGTAAGTAAGCGCTTCCACTGCACTGATACTGATGCAAACCAAACAAGACAATGGAAAAAAAAATGAAATTAAATAGATGAGGTGCTAGAAGGAAGAATTACATAACTAAAGACATAGGCATGTCACAAACTATAACCTCTTCTTAGTTCTTACAATGGAATATGATAAAAGGTAATTACTCAATGAGAAAATAAATGGATTAGTACAGAAAGAGGCTGGCATGGTTGGAAATCACCCTTCGAATACTCCATTACACTTATATTAATTATCACTTCTAAAAACAATCAGTTTATGAAAGTTTGGCAAGATATTCAGCATTTGAATGATGTGAAAATGACACCCCATGCTAGAACAAAGGATTTCTTGTCCTGATTAAGAGGCAGCTGGCCAACATTTTTTTATCACCAACAAAGAAAAAAAGTTCTATTAGACTGAAACAAAAATGTACAACATTTAGTAGAAAGTTCAGAACTGTAATCTGATTTGATAACAGTGATGAAAGAAAGAGAAAAGAGTTTCTTGGAGAGAAGAGAAGAGGAGAAAGAGAAGAAGAAAATAGGAGAAGCCAATAATGATCTGGCCGCCCCACTCATGAATATACTCATGAAATAAAGGAGATTACAATGATTAATATGCCCTTAATAGGGATGCTACTGCTGCTAATAACATAAAAACAGTATTAAAATACACATAAACTAATGGGCCTTGGGGACAATAACACTTAGTAATGACGCTAAATAAAAGGAAACAAAAAAAACTGCTAAATCTCAACACTCCCCCTCAAGTTGGGAGTAAATGTCAAACATTCCCAACTTGCGTAGATCATGTTCAAAGTTATGTTAGACACACCTCTCTAGATGTCATCCTTTCCCTTATTAAATGCCTATCCACTTCTATATGCTTTGTTCTATCATGCTAAACTGGGTTATGGGCAATGTTAATTGTTGCTTGATTATCACAATACAACATCATAATTTCCTCTACATCAACTCCAAGCTCTCCTAGTAAGGGTCGAACCTTAAGAAGCTCTGAAACACCATGTGTCATAGCTCTATATTCTGCTTTTGCACTTGCTTGGCTACAACTGGTTGCTTTTTACTCTTTGTTGAAATTAGATTACCCCCAACAAGAGTGCAAACTCTTAATGTAGATCTCCTGCCATCTAGGCACATTGCCCAATTAGCATCTGTGTAAGCTTCCAGCTTCAAGTGTCCATGGTTAATAAACAATATATCCCTTTGCCTGGGTGTCCTTTCAAATAGGCAAGTATCCTATCAATGGCTTCCTAGTGCTGAGTTTGTGTGGCATGCATGTACTGACTCACCACACTAATTACATAGGAAATATCTAGTTGTGTCATGCACAAGTATAACAGCTGGCCAACCAACCTCCGATACCTCCCAACATCTTTTACTAGCTCACCATCTGAAACATTAATTCCGTAATTCTGGTCAATATGTATTAGTTGGTTTAACCCCAAATTTTCTTGTCTCCCATAGTGGGTCCAACACATACTTTCATTGGGAAATAAAGATCCCATGTTTGGACCTTGCCACTTCAATGCCCAAAAAATACTTCAACTCCACAAGGTCCTTAATCTCAAACTCCTAGTGCAGGTTCCTCTTTAAGGCATCAATTTCACTCAGGTCATTCCTTGTGACTACAATGTCATCCACATATACAATTAGCACTGACACCAAAGATCCCCTTCTTCACAAACAAAGTATGATCAGATTGCTTAAGTGTATCCAAAACCAATCAATTCACTCCTAAACTAGTCAAACCAAGCTCTGATTGCATACCTTCCCTTTAACTACATCACCATAAAAACCAATTGCAAGGTCCATGTACACACACCTCTTACAAATCTCTTCACATCAAGTTAAAAGAGACACCAAGAGTGGATAGGTCCAGGCGAGGTGCTCCCAAAACATGCAAAGGCACATAGGAGAGGCATCCAGACATGTGAGGCATACATCTCCTATGCCTCCAATAGAGAGGTGTGTCTATATGCATACACTTCCTGAGAGGCGCACGCTTCTATCATGCCATGTACAAGAGGCGTACACCTCACATGTTTGGCATTGTAAAACAACTTATTGTTTTAGTTATTTTAGTTTTTTTTAAGTTTTAATTGATGGGGCGACGATTATATCATGGTCCCCAATGTAAAAGTGGCAGAAAAAAGGCCTCAATTGATTCATTTGCAAATGAAGAAAGAAACTTAGAGCTTGAGTGATCCTGTGAAGCTTGAACCTACAAACCTATCGTGAACTTCGACCAACCTCTCAAATATTAAAGCAGCAATGGTTAAGTATGGTGTATTTTTATTTTTCTTTTCTTTTCATCTTTACAAACTAAGAAACTTAAGGCTTAAGTGAACCTGTGAAGCTATGAAACTGAGAACCTGCTCTGATCTTCGACCAACCTCTTAAATCTTCAAGCTGCAATGGCCAGGTATGGGGTATTTTTATTTTTGTTTTGTTTTCTTTATTTCTTCTTCTTCCCTTCTTTTTCTTTTTGGTAGCTCTATTCACTCTTGAGCTTGAACAGAGCTACATTACAAAAACACCACACAACTCTGTTTGGTCTCACTCTATTTTTTTCTTTTTCAATTTTTTGAAGACCTTAAGTTAAGAGGACCAAAGAGACCAAGACGCTATAACGCTGGTTGTAGCTTCAGCCATCAACTTCAACTCTTCAAGCAACATCTATCTTCTCTTCTTTTAATAAATTATTTCTTGATTGTGCTTGCCTCATTTGTGACTAAAGAATAATTTTAAATTGGAATTACTAAACCATAGACATGTTAATTTAGTCTACTGACTCTATTCTATGGCCAATGTAGATTATAAAAATTAAAATAACCTAGCAAAAACTCTTTGTATTTATTTTTACTTTGTTTTTGTTAAATATCAATCATTAAATATTTGAATTTTTTATTTTGAAGTTGTGATTTATGAATTACTTGAATACTTGTATAAACTAGAAACTTAAAGTGATGGATTGAATTATTAACTCATAATTTTTTTATTTAATTTGATTAAGTGCTGCAATTTGATCATTTTTCTAATCTCTATTTCATCTAGAGTCAATAATGTCTAGAAAGGATTTTGCTTAGGAGTATATTAAGGAAGAGGAGGGCGAAAAGGGCTATATTTATTGTGCATTTTGTAGTAAATTATGCAAAGAAGGCATAAATCAGTTAAAACATGGAAAGAGTGAGTGCAAACAATGCCCTAGACAGGTAAAATTACAATAACAAAATGTGCTAACTAAATTTGAATTTTGAAATGGAGATAAAGAAGACAGATTTTGTGTCTAGTGTTGGGAGGTTTAATTGTACACCTTCTATCACTCCCAACATGGAAATTGTATGGCTACTAATTCTAGGTTTGGGACTACTATAGGAAGTGGAAGTGGGACTCGACAATCATTTCCACCACGACCGCCAGGCCCAATGGATCAATTTATTCCAATTGAGCCACGCCAACAGACATTAAATTCACAGTGGAAAAAAAAAGAAAAAAAGATGTTGGTTAGGCTATTGGAAGATGTTTTTATGCCAATGCTTTATCTTTTAATTTAGAAAATAGTCCTTATTTCAATAGTATGTGTAAGGAGATTGCAAATTTTCGTCCAGGTTATATAAGCTTCCATCCATGCATGATCTTTATACTAGGATCTTAAAAGAAGTGGAGAATATAGATAAATTGATGGAGTATAGGGAATCATGGAAGGAGTATGGTTTCATGATTATGTCTAATGGATGGACTCATGGAAAAAAAATAGGTCCATTATCAAATTTCTTGTTAATAATCCAAGTGGGACAATGTTTCCTAAATTTATTGATGTATCCAATTCAATTAAAGATGGGGAACTTCTTTTTAAGTATCTTGATGATGTTGTTGAAGAAGTAAGAAAAGATAATGTGGTCCAAGTAATCAAAGATAATCACTCAAGTTATATGCTTGCTAGGAAAAAGTTGATGGAAAAGAGGTCAAAATTGTATTAGACTCCCTGTGTTGCACATTGCATAGATTTGATATTAGAGTCAATTGAAAAGATAAAACTTTTTAAAGAAACAACTAAACAAGCAAAGCAAGTCAGAAAATTTATTTATCGGCATGGATGAGTTTTAAACTTAATGAAGAGTTTCACAAAAAAACTAGGAGCTTTTACATCGTCGATTTGCCATTACAAAACCAACCTCCTCAATCAATGTTTGCTTCTGAAATGTGGAATGAGAGCCATTGGAGTAAGCATCCTGGGGGTATCAATGCAAAACATACTTATAATGTTTGATAGCAAATTTTGGCCTCATGTGGCATTTTGTGTAAAGACCACTTTGCCAATTGTTGTAGTGTTAAGAAAAAATGATTATGAAGCAAGACTCTCAATGCCTTATTTGTATGAAATGATGGATTTAGCAAAGGAGCAAATTGCATTTTCTTATGGTGGGAAAATGAGAAAATATATGCCTATTTTGGAATAAGACTGATGAAAGATGGACCCCTCAACTTTATGTCCCTCTTCATGCAGTAGGCTATTATTTAAGCCCACAGCTACACTATGAGTCAAATTTTTAAAATGATCGAGAAGTAAGAGGGGTTATTTGAATGCATGAAAAGGACGATCCTTGATAGACATGAGTGTGCTCTAGCAAATTGCCAGTTGGATATATATGATAAAGCACTAGGAGACTTTAGTTGTGACATGGCAATTGATATAAGAAGAGTCGATCTCCTGGTAAGTGGTTTAGTTGTTTGATAACTAGTATGCTTAATTATTTTGTAGATATTTTAAAGCTTTACTAATGTCTTATTATATGATACTTTTCTAGTTAATTGGTGGGCACGTTTTGGAACCCAAACACTAGAATTAACAAGATTTGCTATTCGAGTTTTGGGTGTTACATGTAGTGCTTGGTTGTGAAAGAAACTAGAATACTTTTGAGCAAGTTTATTTTCTTATTTACCTTTTAAGGTTTTTACGTAATAGTTGTGTTTTATCATTGTTTTTAATAAT